ATTGAGAGCTTCTCTGCTTGAAAATCTTCAATAAATTGAACATAAACAAAACTCTTTTCTTGCTTGATGAGTGAATAGAAAGAACAGAATTAGGTCAAGCATCATCTCATCATAATTTGAAGGGAGGTGCAGAAGCATACCTAGGCCCCTTGCACCCTGGCAAGGAGCTGTATGGGCACACACACCAGAAAAGAGCACTTCTCCCCCATTTGATCTTGCTGCGACAGCAGCAACGCACTGCCACACACATACACATCATAATCTCCCACAGTCAACTTTCATGCTTCCTTGCCATCTCTCCCACCACTCAGCTCCCAGCTCTGTCTAAACTCATGACCTTATACAGATAACTAGTGACAGATTTCTGGGGTGACTTACAAAGGTCAGATTGGAAAATGGGCCCCAAGTTTGCAGTCAATTTAAAATTGGAACACATCCTATAATATTCCCATTATTTCCTGACTGACTTTCTCCTGCTTATTACTTCTGGTACATCCTATTATGAAGTTTTCCAGACATTCTATTATCCCGTCAAATGACCAGGCCTGCCTTGATTTGGACGGGGTCTGCAGTGCTGAGGAAGAGGCCTAACCCTTTCTCCACACATCAGATGCAACTGCCTTCCTGAAGATGTCAGCTGAGGGGGAAACTCAAACGTCAGGTGTGGCACCGCAAGATAGCTATATCAACCAACACACGTCTCTCCTCTTAAGTCCAAGGGAACTGCTGGGTTTAAGCAGGGTTGGGCAATGGGGATCAGGGGCATGATGGATGAGGCCATAAATTTCCCACTGCAGTCATAAATGCCCACGTACTACAGCGAAATAGTAGTCGGCTAGGAACAGAATTGCTGTGCTTGGACAGAGAATGACACATCAGACGTGGAACCTAAAACAGGACGTAAGTAGGAGCCCAGGGCCCTTCTGATCCCATGTCTTTGTGCTTGAGCTTTAAAAATGGGGAAATTCCAGCTTCACAGTTATTGGAAATATTCCTTATTTCCCAACTGTTCAACTTAATCAAACCTTGTTCTGGTGGTATAGATTTATTCGGTTGGGGTGGTGCACATCTCTTTGTTTAAGCAATCCCTATCAGTTCAAATCAGTTCATAAAGAAGGCTGATCGCCGAAGAATTGATGCTTTTGAGTTGTGGTGCTGGAGGAGACTCTTGAGAGTCCCATGGACTGCAAGAAGATCAAACGCATCCATTCTTAGGGAGGTCGGACCTGGGTGCTCACTGGAAGGACAGATCGTGAAGTTGAGGCTCCAATACTTTGGCCACCTCATGAGAAGAGAAGACTCCCTGGAAAAGACCCTGATGTTGGGAAAGATGGAGGGCACAAGGAGAAGGGGACGACAGAGGATGAGATGGTTGGATAGTGTTCTCGAAGCTACAAACATGAGCCTGACCAAACTGCGGGAGGCGGTGGAAGACAGGAGTGCCTGGCGTGCTCTGGTCCATGGGGTCACGAAGAGTCGGACACGACTAAACGACTAAACAACAACATCAGTTCAAAAATTGATGCTTTCGATTTCTGGTGCTGGAGGAGATTCTTGAGAGTCCCATGGACTACAAGAAGATCAAACCTCTCCATTCCTAAGGAAATCAGCCCTGAGTGCTCACTGGAAGGACAGATCCTGAAGCTGAGGCTCCAATACTTTGGCCGCCTCATGAGAAGAGAAGACTCCCTGGAAAAGACCCTGATGTTGGGAAAGATGGAGGGCACAAGGAGAAGGGGATGACAGAGGACGAGATGGTTGGATAGTGTTTTCGAAGCTACCAGCATGAGTTTGACCAAACTGCGGGATGCAGTGGAAGACAGGAGTGCCTGGCGTGCTCTGGTCCAGGGGGTCACGAAGAGTTGGACACAACTAAACGACTAAACAACAACAACATCAGTTCCCCATTGCTGGTGGCCAGGAAATATACAGAACATTTCTTCTCTCTTTTTTTAACCAGAGCTTAAGTAAAATTCCAGTAAAACACTTAAAAACCAACAACACAGTGTTGCCCCTTAGCTGTACATTTGCCATTCACTAACTGCAGTTTTCTGCATATCCTTTGGCTCTTCAGCTTGATGTCAATGGCCACATGCTAAGTTCTCCACTGACGTAAATGAAACAAACCACTGCATTTGGAACCTAACATCATCATCATCATGTTGGTCACTTTATCTTTTCCAAGGCAACCCAAAGTCACAAAAAAACAACCCAAAACCCCACACCTAGATACATTAAAACAAGAGGGGAAAGAGAGAGAAAATCTCACTTACTTCTAAAAGGCCACAGATAGTTTGAGGCTAAAGGCCAAATGCCTGGTTCTAGAGGAAAGTCTTGCCTGATGCCTAAGGATATAAATGATAGTGTCAGGTGAGCTTCCCAAGGGAAAGCAGCCCGCAAGCAGGGAGCCACCGCAGAAAAGGCCTCTTCTTGTGTTGCCAGAGGAGGCACATGAAGAAGGGCCTCAGATGATGATGGCAGCATCCAGGTCGGTTCATATTGAGAGAAGCAGTCCTTGAGGTATTGTGGTCCTCAGCCATTTAAGGCTTGATAGGCTAAAATCAGCACTTTGAATTGGGCCTGGAAACTAAATGGCAGCTAGTGCAGTCAGGGCAGGATCAGTGTGAGATGCTCAGTGTGAGATACTGGAGGATACTGGAAGCCAGGACCTCCAAGGTTGCTTTCTCTGAAATGCTGCCAGTTCCACGCACAAAGCCAGACAGACTCTGTGGTCTCAATGTGTGGACGAGACGATGGGATCAGGAGAAGGAGTTTGGATTTGTTAGGCACTGAGAAACTATCTGGGGCAAGCCAGGCCTGTAGAAAAGCAGCAGGCTCCCCTTCAACCAGGGATAGAACCAGACTACTGCTGGCACCAAAAATAAAAAAGGTGGCAGAGCAGCTTTTAAACTGATCAAGGGGGAGAAAGCCAAGAGGAACTGAGAGAGATCCAGTTTGGATTGAATCTCTCTGCTGGGATGCAGATGATAAAACTGATGAAAATTTAAATGTGGGCAGTTGAGAAATGAACTTTGTAAGTGCAGGGGCACAATATAGCAATTCAGAGAGACCAAATCACCACAGGTCTCTTGCAGTAAGAACAGTCAAAGAGTCTTGTGACACACTCCTAGCTAGAGGCAGAAACTGGGACCTCCAAGGTCTAGGGAACAAGTGGGTTTGGGGATCCCTGGCTAGGTGGGGCCAGAGACCCAGCTGGCCTGCAACTCAGTGAGATGAGGAAGGCACTTCAGCCCTGTGGGATTCAAGCAAAGGTCTGGCCCTCAAGGCCCAGCCCTGCTGGGCTCAACCTTCAGAAGGCCGGTCACAGCCCTTGGCCCCTGGCCCTGCCCTCGCTGCCACAGCCAGATGGGGAGCCCAGAGGAGACTGCAAGGAGCGCCCGACACTGGCCTTGGAGCCAAGCATTTCCACTGCAATGGCTCTGGATTGAAGGTTTCAGGGGGTTCAGTGCAGCCCCAGGTGTGTGCCCAGCTAGAGAACCCCAAACCCCAACCCCCAACCCCTAGCTTAGATTACTGGAACATGTTATACTTGGGGCTGCATCTGAAGATGGTTCGGAAACTTCAGCTGGTGCAGAATTCAGCAGCCAGGTTGCTCACTGCAACAAGATGGTCTGAGCCTATGACATGGATCCTGGCCTGACTGCAGTGGCTGCCTATCAGTTTCCCAGGGCAGAGCACTGATGACCCAGTCAGGCGACTTTTAAAAGCTTGTCATTGCTTTTGCATTTATTTAATTTTAATTTCTTGCAAAACCATTATATTGAGGTTCTCCCTCTCCAGTAGTGACAGATCATTCAAGCATAGTCCGTTCACATTAAGGGAGATTAGCTTTAAAGTCATAGAATCAAAGTTTATTGTGGAAGACGTTTTAATTTTTTTCTCGGAGCCGTAAGACAGCTCTCAACAAGAAGCAATCCAATGGACACAACAGTGAGGAATGGGATTAACGCAGGAAACAGCCTAAATAAAAAAACCCAACAAACCTTATAAACTGTAAAGTGAGGGTGACCTGAGAAGCCAGGGGCAGCCTGGAGCAGTTGGAGGCTGCACTCCACATCACTGAACAGCATGTGGCAGGCAGGGACTATAGCTGTGCCTCAGACCCTCTTCTCCTGTCAGGAGAACCAAATAGAGGGGGGGAAGTGCCCCTCCCCCCCAAAAAATAATAATCAATGAGGGGGCTGGGCCCCCTCAAATTTGTGCAGTGGCATTTTAGGGATTGTTCTTTCTGCCAATTTTAGGAAGGTGCTTTGACCAGTCTTCTCCTTCTTTCTTGCCATCACATGCCAGATCTTGAGGGGAGGGGTTCAATTCTAAGCATGGCTAATGCATGGATCTCATTGCTTGCTGCCATTAGATGCCCTTTGTATGGGAAGAGTGACTTGGAAGGGAAGGCCCATCTGTACACATAGCTGACTTCATTTGAGGCCAGAGTAAATGCCTAAGAATATCTGCACTTTCTCCAGTTTCCATACAAGTACCCTGGTAAATTTCAATCACACTCGAATCAAACTTCAGTTCCCCTACATGCATGGTTAGGTAGATCCTTAATTCTGTATTTTAAAAATCTGATAGTGTTCTCAGTACTGAACACTTCAGGGAAGAAATCAAAATCCACAGAATGAAACTGATGATAAATTGGGTGAGTCCTCCCTCACCCTCGCTCTCCAGTATTCTACAGACCCTAATATTTTTCCTGCAATCGCCCTTTGAGTGCATCTCTTCTTTTTCCTCTAAATTATTTTCCACCATTTGTAGCTGCACAGGAGGGCAACCAAGATGATCAAGGGTCTGGAAGCTAAGCCTTATGAGGAACTGGAGATGAAAGCGCTCCTCAGTCTATGCGTTCGAGACATCATGAGCTTTCTAATATGGCCCTGTCACCAAACTGTGGTAACTTGGTTCTTTTGAAATCCGGAGAGACAAGTGATATCCCGTATGCTATAGGACTTTCAATAAGACATGTCAGAGACCAGATCTGGGTTTACACACCTTTCATGCAACATTTATTTCACATAGTCAGGTATACTTTAATACATTGGTACCAAGAGGCTCAGACACTCACAGTTCATTCACCCATACTCACAAGGCCCTTCACGTGGGTTGATCATGCCTCACGCAAGAGCTGTGGGTGTCGAGCTGTGGCGCTAGTCCCGGCACACTGAGGACATGCAGAGAGTCCTTTTTATAGCCTTCTTCCCCCATTGCCGTCTGTGGGCTGGCTTGGAGAAGGATTGAATCTCCCCACTCTCTTCTGCTCTCCTCCTGGACCACCACCAAGTTGCCTCTGCAGCTGCACCTCAGAACATACCGTGTGTCCTAGGCCTTTATCTCATGTCCGTGGCCCATTGCCAGTTCCTCCCTCTTTTTGTCTGGGGCTTTTTGCTTTCAGTAAACAACACCACAGTCATACATTCCTCTTTGATCAAACTAATTTCTCGCTTCACTTGCCAGCATATCATGCTTTGCGAATTCTCCATTTTCTTTTGGGCCTAACATTCATACTGCACCTTCATGACAACCCCGAGCAATATAAAGACATCTGCTGTCAAAACATGAAAATCTGGCAAACAAATATGTTCAAAATTTTGAAAGGCTTTTGGAAAAGCAGGAATACCAACAATCATATTTCAATAAACAAATAAAAGTCTCAGATAAGATGCAGATTCTATCTTACAAAGTGACTGAACTCATTGCTTAACAAACAAGACCACGTACAATAGGTGGGGGGGGGATTATTAAGCCTGCCTGCGGTTTGTGAAAAAATTGTTGGGTAATGATGGAAATGCTTGTCTGATAACACAATTCACAGAAGCTGATATGTCAGCTAATCTTCAGGAAGCGTCTTTCTGATAGTATGAAGAATTCTATATTAGCCTTTTAAGTAGATGAATCTATTGACCTTAGGTGTTTTATACTTTCTGAATGTTCCATAATCACATTATGAAGTAGTTATGTTGGAAATGTAACGAAGCAGTAGGAGCAATGGATCATGTATGGTGATGTAAAAAAATAGGAGAATTCTGAGATACATACAATGAGTTAAAAAAAGATGTTTAAATTATCATTTCCAAAAAAGCCAGAAGCTTTCCTTCTAGGAATCATTGGGGATGAGATCCCCAAAGAGCTGAAGAAGTTATTTATGTACGCCATCACGGCAGCAAGAGTATTGACAGCACAAAACTGGAAAGAAGACCGAAGAAGAAGAAGAAGAAGAAGAAGAAGAAGAAGAAGACCAACGAAGAGGGACTGGCAAGCGAAACTGATGGAATATGTGGAGATGGATAAGCTGACAGGGCAGTTAAGAGACCAAGAGTACCAAAAAGTTAACAGCAATTAGAGTAATTTTTAAAAATATCTGAAAGATTACTGCGGCGATTTGAATTTTTTGACTGGGCTAGATTGACTCTTGTAAAGATAACCAGTAGAAACGGTAAATAGAAGATTAGATACAACTGGAAAGGCATACAACAAAGAATTCTATGGACCCTAGTAAGATGTGGAAGTCCAATGCAAACAAAGTAACAACGTTCAGTAGATAAGTAACATATTTATTTTATTTTTGTTTATGCATACATGTACAATGGTAGAATGTTGAGAGATTTCAATTATTTATAGTGAATGTTGACGTGTATGAAAAGGGTGGTTGTAAATCAACAGAAAAACCAATAAAGATGTAAAACAACAACCCTTAACCTATAGTTTTCCCCCTTTATGAATTCTTTGATGGGTCAAGAGACTGTCCTTCCGAATGAAACTCTTTCCACATTCCAAACACTGAAATGGTTTCTCCCCTGTATGAATTCTTTGATGAGAAGTGAAATTCTGCTTCCACAGAAAGCTCTTTCCACACTCTTGGCACTGAAATGGTTTCTCCCCACGGTGAAGACTTTGATGACTATGGAGGTTTGCGTTCGTCTTAAAGCTCTTCCCACATTCCAAACACTGAAATGGTCTCTCCCCTGTATGAACTGTTTGATGAGAAGTGAAACCGCGCTTCCGCAGAAAGCTCTTTCCACACTCTAGGCATTGAAATGGTTTCTCCCCACGGTGAATACTTTGATGACTATGGAGGTTTGTGCTTGTATTAAAGCTCTTTCCGCATTCAAAGCACTGATATGGTTTATCTCCAGTATGAATTCTTTGATGGGCTGAGAGATTGGCCTTCACACTGAAGCTCTTCCCACATTCCAAGCACTGATATGGTTTCTCCCCTGTATGAACTGTTTGATGGGCCTTGAGAGTGGACCTCTCACAGAAGCCCTTCCCACATTCCAAGCACTGATGTGGTTTCTCCCCACGGTGAATTTTCTGATGCCGATATAAGTTTGCGCTACTGCTAAAGCTCTTCCCACATTCTGAGCACTGATATGGTTTCTCCCCTGTATGAATTACTTGATGTGCTGTGAGAGAGGACCTCACACGGAAGCCCCTCCCACATTCCAAGCAACGATATGGTTTCCCCCCTGTGTGAATTACCTGGTGGGCTGTAAGATTGGACCGCTGTCGGAAGCTCTTTCCACATTCTGAGCACTGATGTGGTTTCTCCCCAGTATGAATTCTTAGGTGGGAAGTGAAGTAGCTGCTGTTACTGAAGCTCTTTCCACATTCCAAGCACTGATATGGTTTTTCCCCAGTGTGAACTTTCTGGTGTTCACGGAGGTTTCCGCTAATTTTAAAGCTCTTTCCACATTCCAAGCACTGGTATGGTTCCTCCCCTGTATGAATTCTTTGATGGGTCATGAGATTGGTAATCTCACGAAAGCTCTTTCCACACTCCAAGCACTGATAGGGCTTCTCCCCTGTATGAATTCTTTGATGGGAAAAGAGCCTTTCTTTACTACTTAAGCTCTTTCCACATTCTAAGCACTGATAGGGCTTCTCCCCTGTATGAATTCTTTGATGGGTCATGAGATGGGTCCTCACACGAAAGCTCTTTCCACATTCCAAGCACTGATATGGTTTTTCCCCAGTGTGAACTTTCTGGTGTTCGCGGAGGTTTCCGCTAATTTTAAAGCTCTTTCCACATTCCAAGCACTGGTATGGTTCCTCCCCTGTATGAATTCTTTGATGGGTCATGAGATGGGTCCTCACACGAAAGCTCTTTCCACACTCCAGGCACTGATAGGGCTTCTCCCCTGTATGAATTCTTTGATGGGAAAAGAGCCTTGCTTTACTACTTAAGCTCTTTCCACATTCCAAGCACTGATAGGGCTTCTCCCCAGTAGGATTTATTCGATGGGAAGTGATATGGGAGCTCTGGCTGAAGTTCGCTCCACACGGCCTCTCCACTGTGCAGATTTTGTGGTGGCCTCCCTTCTTTATTTCCAATTCATCACCTTCTGCAACGAGGAGAGAAACCGATTAGAGCCTCAGGAAGAAATGGAGCCCCAAATTATTGAACAATGCTAATGAACACATGTGATAGAGGAAGAACTGAGGGCATTAGTTGTGAGGTCTTACTACAGAGCTTTCCAAACTGTGTTTTGCGACACATTAGCGTGTCAACTACAGTGTGTAGCTCTTTCGCACAAACTCACCCCACACTCCTCCTGGGGCTGGAAAAGGGTTAGTTGCTTGTAAAACTGAATTACTGTGTCATGAAATGATGCAAAACTGAATTACAGTGGTACCTCGGGTTACATACGCTTCAGGTTACATACACTTCAGGTTACAGACTCTGCTAACCCAGAAATAATGCTTCAGGTAAGTACTTTGCTTCAGGATGAGAACAGAAATCGTGCTCTGGCAGCGCGGCAGCAGCAGGAGGCCCCATTAGCTAAATTGGTGCTTCAGGTTAAGCACAGTTTCAGGTTAAGAACGGACCTCCGGAACGAATTAAGTACTTAACCTGATGTACCAATGTACTGTGTTGCAAAATGATGCATGTCTAAAAAATGTATCACCAACATGAAAAGTTTGGAAAACTCTGTACTCCAGGGTTCACCGCCTTTTTTGACTGGCATTCACTGACCTATTTATAGGAACCTGAGATTTGAAAAGTCTGGCTCGTTCCTGGGATGGATTTTGTTTGGCTCATGAAATCCACTCCATCTCCAATGTCAATTGTCTCTTTGGTCAACCAAAAACTGATGGAAGCAAAAAGAAAAAACCTGACAAAAGCTACTTCCACTTCCCCATCAACTCTGCCGTCTATATTTTAAAAGGCCTAGGAAGTTCAGCCTGATCATGATTAAAAAGGCATAACCAGAGGAAGAATATTCACAGAAAAGCGGTAGGTAGCCTTCCATTCAAGGTAAGCTGGTGGGGTGTTAGAATCCCAGATTCTGTAGGTGGGAAGTTCATCACATAGATATATGTCTTGAATTTAAAAACAGATATTATGATCCAACGGAGCCTTACCAAGAGAGTCCATGATGCCTTGATTCTCCTCCATGACTTCCTTAGGCAGAGCTCTCTGGTCAGGATCCAGCAATGCTCACTCCTCATCTGTGAAACAAGTAGCTACATCTTCAAAACACACGGCACCCTAAAAGAAAAAGGTCTTCGTCTTAGATAGCATAAAAATTATCTACTATACTTTGCTCTGTTGTTTTCTCCCTGTTCTTTGCTGCGTTGTTTTAATGGGGTTGTTTTGCTGCACATTTTAATTATTTAAAATGCTTATTTAGCATTTTAATGGAATAATTTTATTGTGTATTTTAATGATGGAAATCTTTGTGTAACTGGCTAGAGCTCCACGTTGTGTTCTTTTCTCCCTGTGCGCTGTTTTAGGGGGGAACCCTCACTGTGCAACTGATGGAGCTGATCAGGTGCGCCCTGGCCAATGTTTACTATTGTTTGTCAACTGCTTAGAAGCCAATTTAGCATTCAACAATCAATACTGAAATAAAACTACAACTGATAAATAATACTAGTGACATACAATCACGGAAGAGACCCTGAGGATTATTGTCCAACCCTCTGCAATGCAGGAATCTCAATTAAAGCATCCATGGCACTCCAGCCTCTGCTTCAAAGCTTCCCAGGAAGGGGCCCAGCACCTCTTGAGGGAATCCGTTCCACCATTACTCTTACTTAATCTAAGCACAACCACAAGGGCTCCAGACTAGGGCTGGGTGATATATCGGCACATCATCCAAAACCAGCCTGAAGTCCACATCATGGTAACATCATACTTTCATACCGTTCAACGTGGCAATATATCAGGTCATTGCTTTTCGTGATTCCTGCCGCCCCTGTTGCTCTGCCACCTCAGCGCTTCCCTGCCTCCTGCAAGGGGGAGCAAACCAGAAGAGCAGGTGCTGAAGAAAGCAGCCGTCCAGGAACTTTCCTCAGGAACAGAGACACCACGAGCTTCTTGTTTTCAATGCATGTGCCAGGCTGGTAAGTGGCGGAGGGAGATGCCTGTCCGAGGCGGCTCTGGGCTTCTTGCTGGGAGCCCCTTGCTCCCTTCCTTGCTCCTTCTCTAGGCTCTCTGCCTGCAGGCGTCTCCTGATCCCCGACTTTCGCCCGAGGCCTCGCCAGAGAAAGAAGCCCTTTCCTCCTTGCCCCCCCAAGCCCTTTCCTGGTTGCTGCCCAGCCGTCCTTTGAACGGCTGCTGCCCTCAGTCGGAGCTCTCTTGGAAGCAGCAGCCAGTCCAATGGAAAAAGAAAGTGGGGTTATTACTTCTCAGGCTATTAAAGGTAAAGGTACCCCTGACCATTAGGTCCAGTTGTGACCGACTCTGGGGTTGCGGCGCTCATCTCGCTTCACTGGCCGAGGGAGCCGGCGTACAGCTTCCGGGTCATGTGGCCAGCAGGACTAAGCTGCTTCTGGCGAACCAGAGCAGCGCACGGAAACGCCGTTTACCTTCCTGCTGGAGTGGTACCTATTTATCTACTTGCACTTTGACATGCTTTCAAACTGCTAGGTTGGCAGGAGCAGGGACCAAGCAAAAGGAACTCACCCCGTCGCGGGGATTCGAACCGCCAACCTTCTGATAGGCAACTCCTAGGCTCTGTGGTTTGACCCACAGCGCCACCCACATCCCTCCTCTCAGGCTATTACTTATGTTAATAAAATAAAATAAACTTTGTCCTGTTGTTCAAGCCTCTTTCCTCCCCTCTCCCCTTCTGTGTGTCTCTCAGTTGCCAGAGAACACCAAAATGCACATTTTCCTGGCAAAATATATGCATTTTATTTAATACATTTTTGGTTTGGTGAAATTTTGTCCATTCTTTCTAGTTTGAACTGGTTTATAAAAGAAAATTAGCAAACAATCAAATAACTGGTGTTGTGGGATGTATATACAAATTCAATTAAGACTCAATAGTGAATAATATTTTAACATCTAAAAGTGTGACAGAGAATTTGTTTTTTTCTTGTTTAGTAATGTCATTAATTTGGGGGGGAACATTCTCTTACCTTACCTTTGATATCTATGCTACTTATTACTTCTACAGCTTTACATAAAATGTGCTAATTTTAAAATTATATGTCCTATTAAATAACTGCTGCAACAATATGCTAAAGGTAATTAAAAATGTATCCGTTTTAGACCCCTAAGTAGTAGCAGTTGCTAGTTTTCATTTGCTTCTCCACAGTTCCAGGCTTATTTCAGACACTGTGCTATATCGGTATGATATATTACAATGTTGAAAACTAGACATCACCCAGCCGTAGAACATTATCTGTTAACTCTGATAGAATCAGAGTTGCAAGGGACCCCGATGGTCATTTAGTCCAACCCCGTGCAATGCAGGAATCTCACCTAAAGCCTCCACAACATGCCGTTTTGTTTCTGTTTAAACCAATTCACGAACCAAGAACTCATATATTGACCACTAGTAATAAACCACATGCTGAAGATATTCTTGCACATTTATTGTGCTATTTTTGTATACAAATAACATGAAGACTCAGGAGACTCAAAGACTTATTTGTATCCTCGGTTATTCCTATGATCCTTGTTCTAGGGTGTGTGGGGTATTAGGGGAGGGGCAGAACCTCTGGCAGGGGACCCGTCATGCTCCTTCTGGGGTACCTGGTCCACCTTTGGTCCCTACCCCGCACCCAAACCAGAGGGTCTTGAACCCTCCGTGAGTTTGGGACTTCCCAATGAGTGGACGAAGAGAGGCTCCAGCAGATTCAGCAGACAAGACCAACAGGGGGTCCGACGGCCCAGAAGGTGGTTTCTGCAAGTGCTGTGGAGGAAAGGGAGCCCGTCCTGGAGGAGAACTCTCCTTCTACACCTCTGCTGCCTTGCAGGATCTTGTCAGAAGAAAAGGCTCCAGAGGAAACAGGGCTGCTAAGGCAGTGGCTGGACTTCTCGGTGGGAATGCCTGTGGTAGGAATTTTGAGGTCTTAGATATATGGCAATGTTCCTAAGTGTACCAACCAAGCACCTACATAGATCAGCGCAGGAAGACCAACCTGGAAGCATTTTGATTCCCAAACTGACCACATGTTTTCCCTGCCAGGAGGGAGGGGGGGTCAGGGAGGCTTCCCATTGTCTCAGGAGTTGAGTCATCAGCATTTTAATGGGCGACAGACTATCAGGAAAGACAAATCAGGAAAGGCGATAATCAGATCACCTGGCAAGCAGGAAAAAGAACACAGGGTGGCTTGCGCGCCCTTGCTCTGGCTTCCTTCTCCTGTCCTGCCTGTGGCAGCGAGGACCCTCTCGCAGCAGATCAATCACGATCCGGCCGACTGGCCGCTTTGCGCCTCCGCATTCTCTGCTTGGCCTCCGTTCTTCTCTCCTACCAAGAGGGAGCCCACAAAGGGCGACTAGACGGGCTCTGGGTCCCCGGAAGGGAAGGAGGGCAGCTTTGGTTGACCACCCGCCCGCCCTGACTTCCAGAAGACACCGGAGGGCAGCCCTGCCGAGGGAGGCGCTTCCTCGTCCGGCTCCTTTCCTCCTCGGCAGGCGCCTCCCTGCGGCCAGGCTCCCCCCCCCCCCCGGGGCAGAGAGAGAGACTCACCGGACGGTCGCCGGCCAGGCCGGAAGAGACGCGGAGGGCGGGGCTTCCGGCTCCGCCTGCCTTTCCCGTCCTCTCTAGGAATCCCGCCCCGTTCACCGTAACCCTTGCCAAGCCGGGCGGCCGAGGGAATTCGAAGGTGAAGGAGTCGAAGGATCAAGAAGCGATCTTGGTTTTCCTTTCTGATGATCTAGAAACACAGGAGGCACAGCAACAAGAAACGGAAACTTTGCGCTGGTTTTTATGTTAAGAAAGTTGCTTCTGTTGTTAAAAACCAATAAAGATGAATTGAAAAATGAAAGAAATGCAAAATAAAAACACAGCCGACTTAACAAGAACCACACAAAAAATGAGGGGCCACACCGATCCAACGTTCATTAGGAAGTGGGATATGCATTAAAAAATATTTAAAGGATTATTGTAATGATGTGATGTCTGCGGCAGCCTTTGAATGACTTTCGCAGTATGATGGATAATTAGGAGATTTCATAATTTTGATGAAATTTAACCTAGGTAATAAAACAGAAAGATACAGTGCACTGGATAGATCAAGTGGTGGATTCATGGTGGGGTGACGGGAAGTCAACATATCGTGATGTAATGTAATAAGTTTTATTTTCTCTCTCTTTTTAGCCTTTTTGGACAATTCTTCTGTATGCTTTTTGTGTTAATTTCAATAAAGCACTGTTAAAAAAAAAGAACAAGAACAAAACAAGAACCAGTAACTGGGTTCCGAGCTGTTCCCTCCCTTGGCCAGAAAGAGGAGCGGCATCTCGCAGAGGAAAAGGCTCTGCCAGAAGCGGGAAACTGCCTGGGAAGAAGAAGCCACTTGGACGGCTGGGCTAAACCAGGGTTTGCAATCCTTGGGGACCTGGGGACTTGTCTATCTATCGCTTCCCTGCATGCCCAGACGGGCTCTGGGGCTGGAGCAGGCGAGACCAGGGGAGAGGGGCCGGGCAAGAGCGAGCTGCCTCGGCGTCGGGCCGTCCCGCGACCAAGCTGTCCCTCCAAAAATGGACCCGGGGCCGCAGCCCCCCAGCCCCCACATTCTCCATCTCTGCCAATAGCGAGTCCCACAATCAAGAAGGCGGCTTCTGCCTTTGCTGTCGAGCTGGTCAGCCTGGAAAGGGGGCCCATAAAGGAGAACTCTCAACCTAAAGCTCTGCTGCTTTGCAGCTGCACTCATTTGATAGAGAAAGAGAGAGGGGTTTGTTTTTTTGGACAGAGAATACCATTATAAGCGTGGGTAAACCCAAGATACATCAGAGACATAGAGACATACATGGAGACGTCACCTTGCCAACAAAGGTCCATATAGTCAAAGCTCTGGTTTCCCCAGTAGTGATGCATGGAAGTGAGAGCTGGACCATAAAGAAGGCTGATCGCCAAAGAATGGATGCTTTTGAATTCTGGTGCTGGAGGAGACTCTTGAGAGTCCCATGGACTGCAAGAAGATCAAACGCATCCATTCTGAAGGAAATCAGCCCTGAGGGCTCACTGGAAGGACAGATCCTGAAGCTGAGGCTCCAAGACTTTGGCCATGAGAAGAGAAGACTCCTTGGAAAAGACCCTGATGTTGGGAAAGATGGAGGGCACAAGGAGAAGGGGACGACAGAGGATGAGATGGTTGGACAGTGTTCTCGAAGCTACCAGCTTGAGTTTGACCAAACTGCGGAGGCAGTGGGAGACAGGAGTGCCTGGCGTGCTCTGGTCCAGGGAGTCACAAAGAGTCAGACACAACTAAACAACAGCAACAACAACAACAAACCCAAGATATTAATAAATGGTAGGATTTTGATTATTTGTGGTCTGAAGGGAGAATGCAGGCTGCGAAGGAATTCCTGCAAACCAGCCTGGCTGGCTGTGGGAAGAGCAAACCTGTTTGTTGTTGCTGTTTAGTGGGCAAACCAGTTAGCATGCCAAAAAGGTGTGAATGAGCCGTCAAAAAAGGATTCTTTGGCCTGGGGAGTCTGATGTCACAAAGGGGTAACGGTGTGTTTGAGGGGACAGGAAAAGTGAGCTTTGAAGCAGGGATTCCTTGGAAGGAGGAGGAGGAGGAGGAAGAGGGGCTGAGATCCATCTTGGCAGGGGAGATGAAAGGTTGCCTGCTGCCATGCTGTGGGCCATGCTGTAAGTTCTGGACTCCCTCCGTGCAGAGTGAGGGTGTAAATAGGTGAATAAACCATATTTCTTCAAACACGACAGTCTCCCCTGTATCTTCTATTCTCCAAAGGGGCACAGATCCTGTGTGGGTGCCTGAGACGCCCATGGGTTCTTGCCACCACTTGGCAGGGAGAGGGGCAGGCACTGGACTTTTGGAACAATACAATAAAAGTCAAACTAATCTGAAGAAAAGAAATGAAAAGAACTAAAATGATAAGAGGGAAAAAATCAAGAGATAGAAAGGCAAGAAGGGGAATACAAAAGCAACCTGTCACAATTACATCTGTCTTTATCCATACGCAGAAAGGTAGACCCTCCCTGCTTTCACCTGGAAGCTTCTGTTTCTTCTCCCGCCCCCCAAGATCCTTTCTATCTCTCCCTCCCACTTGGGCCCCCCAAGAAGAAGAAGAAAGAGGGGCTTCTAATTCTCCATCTGCCAATTATATATATTATAATGATTCAAATTATTTGAAGCATACACTGCAGGAAAACACCTAGCTATATTACATTAAAGAGTTGCTAAGCAGTCTGCCAAACACAATTCTTCTCAGAC